TTTAATATTAATATTACATGTATAATTTTAATATACTAAATTTTTTTAGCTTTAAAATTTAAGAAAAGTGCTTTATAAGTTGTTTTTTAAAATTTTTTTAGAGGATTTGTATACTATCTCATATTTTATTAATATTTTCAAAAATTAATTATTTGATTGAAAGTTTTGTTCTTATAGATCAAGCATATCAAAATTTGGAATAATCAACTAGGTTTAACTAAGTTATTAGTTATGTAAAATTTAATATTATTAAATATATATCAATAAGGACACTAATTTTTACACTCTTTAATTCAATGTCATATGATACACTGATTGATTCTTAATTACTTCTTAATTGCTCATTTTCTCTTAGAAGAAAAAAAATCGCCGAAATGAATTCGTCCTAATTATCAACCGTAACCTTTTTTTTTTTTTTTAAATAATCATGGATTTTATTAAACTAAATAAATACACCAAAAGAATCCATGATCATTGCCTCGTAGGCTAAGAAGCAAAAACCTGTAGTGACACTAGTATATAAAGATGTGTTTGAGAGCCTCTAAACACTAAGTAGAGCGATAAAAATAACATCAAGTTATAAAAGAGTTATACTTATTGAGTAAATAAAGACACTACAATATTATGACACCTTAAGTCTTACATTAAAATATAAATATAAGTGTGATTGATATATAATTATCATAATTAATTATTATTAATAATTTAAATTTAAGGTTTTAAAGGTACATATATATAACTTGGCCCAATAGGTTTTTACGCTGGTACTCCTCTGTAATTTAATCAATCACCCTGCTGATCAAAAATTTTTTTGCTGATAAAAAAAAAAAAAAAAATTTAATCAATCACCCGACAAATCGTAGACTCATCCACCTGCATTGCAAAGGTTGTGCCCGAATTGTCCACTAAATCCTTTGACACTTGGCCTTTATTCCAGCTCCCAGCACTAGATTTTCTCTTCGCTTTCACTTCCTTTTTACTTGCTCGGAGATGTGAGCAATACTCTGCTTAATGTCTTCCAGTT